AAAATCAGCCTTAAAATGAAATACTAAAAAGGCATGCTACATTGTTTATTATGTGTTTTGTATCATTCAAGTCTTTCACAAAACTGCAAATATGGAGGATTTTAGTCACAAGAAAAAGCAGAATAATAGGAATTCTCTCCTAAACTCTCAGGGAGTTGAGCTGTTATTACATTTTACACCTTGATATAAAAACTAACGAGGTAAGAGTCATCAAAAAGTGCCAAATATCAGATTTTACATTTTAACAAGCATCTTGGGAAAGACTTAAAAATACCCACTGTTTAACTCACACAGCAGAAACCTCAGAAATATTCATATATTTGTGTCGAGCTATTTGGATTTCCCTTGCGACCAATTCCGTCCAAGCCACTTTAAAACTTTTCCCACTACTTGGACACTGAAGTAGCTGAATTGCTCATGTTATGTTTATTATCAAATATGTCTTAATGTCTTAAAAGTATTAATTTATTTACTTGAAAGGGGGAAAAGGTAAAAAAAACCCATTTGATCAATCAGTGTTTTGATGCAGTTTTACTACTATTTAAAAGAAAAAAGATAGTTATAATAAGAGGAAAGGTAATTGTTTACTGTTTGATTCTTGATTTTTAACTGAGAAAGAAGTACTCAGAGATTATTTTTATCGCTTTGTCAATCAGTGCACTAATATTGGAAACTGCACTATTGTCTCTAACTCTGAATTTTAAATGTGCAGCTTGTCCTGAAGATAACACTTTATTAATGTGCGCAAAATTGATTGATTGATTGATCACACTTTATTCATCCCGAGGGAAATTGGGTTAAGGCTGCCAGCTGTGCCAGCTAGATGTTGCTTATTTTCAGTGTTGCACCAAGATCCACAGAAAACCCGGGATAGAGGGGCTCGGTGAAGGTTGTCTGGATTTGGTGCAGCAGTGTCAAACTTTCAACTCCAGATACGCTGTAAAAAGCCAGCGTTCCCTCTTCATAATTAAGGTGTACCCCTACTTTGCGGGAGACAGCCGGAGGAATTTGACCTTTGTGAAGATTATTGTGCCAGAACGTGCAACCAGAAGGAGAGCAGATTAATTTCCAGGACAGAGCATTGTGGCCAAAACAGCAATCTTTCCCTGAACCCTTTCTTCCTATCCCTCTGTACGACACAGCCACCTCAACTATGCCACCATCCCACTCCACCTCCCAGTAGTGGTTTCCTCTGAGGCCCTTTTTACACAAAGCCTGGTAAAAGTATGTGAATCTGTCAGGGTGATCTGGATGAGCCTGGTCCTTGTCACACCATGATATCTCTTTCTTTGTATCAGAGAGGTAAAGACAAGCTGCTACAGTGTCAGGATCCACCTCGATTTTGGAGTCTGCAGGGAAAATGAAAAACTCATTGATTACGAAGGACTCGCTTAAGCTCTCAAATATGTCTGTAGTCATTAACATCATGCTTACTCTTATATTTCATCACAAGTTCTGTCCTTGTCCGTCCCTCCTGCGGCCTTGTCCTTCTTGACACTTGTAAGGAAAAACACAAAAAGCATAGTTTTTAAGTAAA